ATAATATAATGTAATAAATAATATATTATCTTATTTTATATTATTTTATAAAAAATATATTATATTATATTATCTTATATTATCTTATATAATAAAATATATGATAATATAATAAATAATATATTATTTTTATTTCCAAATTTATATAATTAATTTTATTTTAATAAATAATAAATATAATAATTTATTTTAATTTAATTTAATTTAAATGCACTGTACTATAATAATCTATCTTACTTTATTATAATTTATTTTTCATTTAATATTATCTAATTTATTTTATTATATTTAAATTATTATAATTTTATATCTTATTAATATAAGATACATTATCTTTAAAATTTTAATTGTGTTTATTAGTACTTAGTGTCCATATATATTAATTGCTATTGAATCCAACACATAACTTGGAATGGTGTGGTGGTTTCATTGCCATAAAACCTAGAGGTCACAGGTTTGAACCTTGCCTCTGTTTATAATTTTTGCCGCCACGTCACCAGCCCATGTCAGCAAGGAAAGCCCGATTTTGCCACGGCACCAGCCCATGTCAGCAAGGAAAGCCCGATTTTGGCCCGATGCATACAATTGCAAAAAATTGTAAAAGTGGTGTATAAATTTACTAATTTTAAAGGTGGTGCATTAAATTGCAAATTTCGAAAAGCTCATGGTTTTATTTGCAATTAAGCCTATATACAATACAAACTACAAAGTAGCAGTTTAGCAAGATATATAAAGCCCATCTGAGGCAACGAAACGAGGCCGAAACATATACCGTTGGATGAGATGGGTACTCTAATCTAACCGTTGAATTAACAAAATTGAATTCAAAAGCTAAGCTAGAGAGGGAGGATTGCGGAAGAGATTTCAAAGCCACCAACATCCTCTTTTTGCTTTCGGAAAAATTCCCTCCTTTTCTTCACTTGCACATTCTTGATATTTTTGCATGTGGAGTTTCATCTATCTACATACACATATAGATCGAGGGTCTTTCAAACTGAGGTTGTACGTCAGCTATATTCCTTCGTTTCGGGTTATTTTTTTTTTCCTTTAATAAATCTGAGCTCGGGGGCGGATATTTCAGTTTTGAATTTGGAATTTAGGTTCTTTCTTTATTGGGTTGGAGAAGTATAAGGATCTGTATAATTTAGGGATAAACTGATGAAAAAACAGTGTAATTCAATTTCTTTTCTTTTTTTTTTTTCTTTTTGCTTCTTGAAAGATTTTAGTTTGGAGATTTAATTTGTGTTTGAGGGAATTCTTTATTTGATTTTGATTTATTTAAATGGAGCAAAGAGATGGAGACAATTTTCCTCCAAATAAGCAAGCTTCTTCCACGGCACCGGCGGAATTCCCGGCGAGGAAGCTTGTGAGGCAGCTGGATTTTACTGGTTCAGGCGCCGCCACATCAAGTGAGCAATTTATGAAGCAACAGTTAGGAAAGCTGTCCCAGACGCAAAACCCACCACAACTTCAGCCACCACAAATGCTTTTTATGGCGATGCAACAGCCGCCACAACCAGCTGTGCTATCCCCTCATTCTTCCGTACGCTCTCTTGTGTGAGTTCTTTCTCCAATTTTGTTTTATTTTTAATTCTGATTAAGGTTGATAATACTGTTTTTTAATCCATTCTCTAGAGCTCTAGAAACGTTTTGTAGGTTTTTCTAGTTGCTTCTGATTCCGTTTGTAAATCTTGTTCTTTGATGACTTTGACTTGATTATTATCGAGCATTTACTTATAGAAACTACAGATTGTGGTTTAAATTGTAGAAACCCAAAGTGTAGATGTTTTTCCACGTAATATTAGAAACTCACTTGGGGGAGACTTTGGTCTGTGAGAGAACCACATGGTAATATTAGAACCTGAGCAGTGCAACTGGTATTTTATTAATTTATTTATATTTCCCCGAAAGTGAATTTCTGAGCTGCTTTAATTTGAATGGATTAAGTGAAAGAATTGGATAGGAGCTCTGTTCGTGTGTATATATGTTGTCAAGGCAGTTGATGAGTTGACTACATAATGAGAAACAATGGTAGTAGTATAAGTCTTGTTTGTCATACATGCTGCATACATGGTGCTTTGTTTTTTGGTGCTTTGATAAGATTGGCATAGATAACTGGAAACTTGATGTGGTAAGTGGATGCTTCTACCTATTTTTGTGGCTTATTTGGTTATACAAAGTTTTACGAATATTAGGGATAATGTTTTCACGAATTCTTGTCATTTATTGAATTAGTTTCCAACAAAGTAAGTATACCCCCTCTTTTCAACAGATAAAATTAGGAAAAAAAAAAAAGAATCAAAGAGAAACACTATATTGCAAGCCTCTAGTACTTTATTCCTTTAATGCATTTCTATCTTGATAGTGCAATGATGTCATGACACTAGCCCTGTGAAATCGTAATACATGATCTTGCCAATTCTTATAGCATACTTGCGTAGGTATGTTCAGCTGCGAGCACACAATAGGTAGGGTGCTAGTCTTTTGATTAGTATTGCGATTAATTCTTGCTGTTCTTCAGGAAACCTGAATCCCCAAGAACTCGGCCTAGACAAAATGTGAATGAAATCAAAGATGGTACACCAAAGAAGCAAAAGCAGTGCAACTGCAAGCATTCGCGTTGTCTGAAGCTGTAAGCAGCTTCTACTTTATGTTCTTGGGTTTATTTATGTAATTGGCTAGTAGATTCGCTATCTTCACATTCTTTCAGTGAATTTTGTGAAGCATTTTCTGAACCAGAAGTGATGGCTAATATTGATAAAATTAGGCACATAAATCATTGAATGAAGGTGCAAAATTTCAATATATAGATTACTCATTGATTTGTACTATAAAATCTTATATTTTCGACTTCCAACCAGATTTAATTTCCCCCTCTTCATTTACAATGCTGGTTATTATTGACAAAAAAGGTTAGCAGTCTATGAAATTCAAATTTATCCAAGCATCACATTGATCTTTCAAATCTGTTAGCTACCCATTTATATGCAGTATAGACGTTGCTTTATGGCTTATGCATCAACAGGTATAACAGATTTCTTGTTCTGAATTCTGTGAAATATCATTAGCATAAGAAAAGTTACTCTGCTGACCTTAAATATTTTATCGGGAATGACAATTTGAATACTTATGTTTGTATATTTGTGAGTGATCGTATAAGATAATGACTTCTTCATTCACGGAGCTGGAGGTGGTGACCTTTTTCTTGACTCTATAGTATTTAATTAGGAATGACAGTTTAGATATCTGGTCTTCCATTTATGCATGTATTTTTTGAGTGATCATATGACTATTTTTTTATCTTCATTTTTTTAGTTCTACATTTGAGTCCACAAACTGTAATACTTTAACCAAGGGAGCAGAATCTTGTGTTTTAAAATGGTCATTCGATGATAAACTCATCATCCAACTGCCATTATGTTTTGTTACTTAGTAAACCAAGACCGATTTTTAGTTGAACTAGTCAATTCATTCTTTATTTCCTTTTAACTCAAATGCCGAAAAAAATTATTTTGAACTTGCAACTGAGGATCATAATTTCTTTCCTGATTTGGAACCGCGATAAACTGAGGGAGGGAGGATTTGTCATAAAATAATGGCAAGATCTGGAGTTAGTGATGGCTGTGGATGGAGGATATGAAGTTAGTGGGTTAGGTGTAAGATGTGGGGGTAAATGAAGACTTAAAAGGGAGATACAGAATTGGTATTTTAACATTTCATTTCCCCTTTTAATTTTTATATATATTGGAAAAAAGGATAAGAAATGCACAATCATGTCACAACAACATTTTTTATTGAAAACTGGTCTTTTAGTGATGAATTTTGCTACGTAATGTATATTGATTGATGATAGAACAATATAGTGGACCTTTTTCACAAGCCGGCGTAGTGGACTGAAAATGCAATTCTGGCCCTTGGCGAGCTTGAGTTGAAATGTGTTGATCATTCACATGATTGAGATTTTACTTCCAACTCTAAATCTTAAATTGACAATTTCCTTTTTTTAGTTCGCTGGCAATACCTGTATTATCTTTTTATCTCCATGTTGTATGTTACTCCGCTCAAATCAAGCATACTGCATATTTGATCAATTTCATTTTCAGGTATTGTGAATGTTTTGCATCTGGAATCTATTGCGATGGTTGCAACTGTGTGAACTGTCATAATAATGTCGAAAATGAAGCTGCGAGACGAGAAGCAGTTGAGGCTACCCTGGAGCGTAATCCAAATGCTTTTAGGCCAAAAATTGCTAGCAGTCCACATGGAGCTCGGGATAACAGGGTACTTTGTGTTCCATATTGCCATCTTACTTTCATTTTCAAATAGAGTACCAGCAGAAATTATTGTTTTTCTTAATTGCCATATCTTTTCCTTTTAATTTTCATTACATTTGATCAGTTTTACTGCTTTTTGTTGTCTAACTCCTCTCATGCACGATGCTTCTGATACTTCCCGTTGGTAACAGTGTTAAACATAACTGCATATTTGACCTTCTTTCCTGTGAACTTGCTACGTTACAACTTGAGTTTTACTTCTACTGTACCATCACATAAGAATGATTGAGAACCGATAATGTTTGCATCTCCACTGATCACATCAAGTAATGTTCTGTACTTCTGAAATGAACGTTGTCCAAGCATTATAATACTTGAGGAATAATACATCACTTTAACAAATTTTAAGATATATTAATTCATGTGACAATTGCATTTGCTTTGTTATTTTCAAAGTTTTCTCCAAGAAGATTTCACACTAACTGCACATACTTTACTGACATATTAATGATAAATCTGTTGCCTAGTGTACTGTATGAGCAGTGCAAACTTCTCTTGTAGCAACTGATTTTTGCGTGGTTATTTCCACAGCTTTCCCCAAGAAGTTTCACCCCAATTGTGCATGCTTTTGACAAATCTCTTGCCTGGTATTACTGTATTAGCAATGAAAACTTCTCTTCCCATTGAAGAGGAGGAATATTTAAGGGGTGTCATTTGTTGAAATAAATGGTTCTCATGCGCTCCGTCAAAGATAAATGATAAACTTCTATCTTGTTTAATGCTGACTTATATAAACACTTCATTACTTTATGATAAATATGCAGGAAGAGGCTGGTGAAGTTTTAGTTTCAGGAAAGCATAACAAAGGTTGTCATTGTAAGAAGTCAGGATGCCTTAAGAAGTATTGTGAGTGCTTCCAAGCAAATATTCTTTGTTCTGAGAATTGTAAATGCATGGACTGCAAAAATTATGAAGGAAGTGAAGAGAGACAGGCTCTTTTTCATGGAGATCATGCAAATAACATGGTTTATATCCAGCAGGCAGCAAATGCTGCCATAACTGGTGCTGTTGGAACATCTGGTTATGGGTCTCCCCCGTTGAATAAGAAAAGGAAAGGTCAAGAAATCTTCTTCGAATCAACAGTTAAGGATCCTGCACACCGGCTTGGACAAGTGCAACAGGTAATTTTCTGGCGGTTGCTTCAAAAATGGCACTCTCATCCTGTTAATAGGTCTTTGGGATGGAAAGGTGGTTGCTGAAAATTCACTATTTTTAAGGCTCCAGATAACCCTGTATACCGCTCTTTGGCATCTTAAGTGGGATATAATGTGAGCTAAGATTGAGCTTCATTATTCATTGGTACTAAAAATCGGCCTAGGCGGCCGCCTTCAATTTGCATGAGTCGGCTGAAAAAATCAGTCAGGCGGCTAGGTGGGCTCGACGGCAATTTTTCAATTTTTTTTTTTTCAATACTAATACATTATTTTGTTATCATATTATAATAATTAATATTATTATTTGGACTTAGGTGTGTGATTTATTATAAGTTGAGATAGTTTATTTTGTAGGTAGTGAAAATAAATAAAACGTAAGGTATTTAATCTTAATTTCTAGGCCCCGCCTAGGCACTCTAGGCAAGTGACTTCCAGAACATTGTTATTAATACTGTGTGAATGAGTTTTAGCTGCCTTGTGTTTTACAGTGCAGCAGCAAAGTCACTAAAAAAGTGTGCTAAGAGTTGGCTTTGTTGGTTCTGCTGGAATCAGGATAAGCTAACATTTGAATTGTTTGAATGTGTATCTTTTGATGGCTGATATGAAGAGTTATGCTTAAAAGTTTCTAAATGATGTGTGACAGTGCAAAAGAAATTGATGCTGGGTATGACTTTTTGGATGAATCTCATTTTACTTAATCACAATTCATGATTGAAAGTACTCATTTTGTTATTGCCAGATTTTCACATTTTGGCATGTTCTCTGTTGTCATTACTCATTTCAGGTAGATGTTTATTGGTGTTACTTATAATTTTTTTAAAAGTAAAAGCTGTTATTACGTCATCAATAATTTTCAGTTGAAGTTACTTAAGCTCTTACGTAATCACTTAGTGTGCATTTGGTGGAAGGTAAAGAATTTGGATGGAGTACCAACATGCTATGGGCATTAGTGAAGATGTCTAGGTTGCATAATTTGTATTATATTTGTCACCATGCAAATAACAAAAAAACTTAATATAATCTTCTTGTTTTACATGGTAATATAAGAGTTAAGATGTCAACCTTTGGAATTTTGGAAAATTTGGTTACTATTAGAATTAATTGTCCAAAATTGTGAACAATGTTCCAGAATTTACATATTTGAGTATAAAGCTAGGAGTTCTCCAACCCTGAAGTGTGCTAACTTGGGCTACATGAGTCATAAAATATGATTAAATTTGGCCACCTGTCGATTTTTTAGTTTTCCTTTCGGGGGTTTTTTTTTTGAGTTTTTTTTTTCCTGTTTCTTAAGTTTTATTTTTTCCAACGGGTTTTCACATTTTTTTATGTTTTTTCTTTTACTCTTTATTGGTGTTGTTGGGCAAAATATTGTGCAATTGTCTGGATGGAATTGATTGCAATAATATTTGCAGCGTAGATACTTATTTGTGTCCTTGTTTCCACAACATCTTATTCACTTTGTAATTTAGTCATTTATATTCCTCAAGTTTAGTTGAGGAACTTGACTTCTTGTGTGTCTGATGTGTGGTTTTCTGTAATTACAGGCTAATCAAGTCAAGGCCTCTATACCTTATTCCTCTTCATTATCATCATTTCCTGGTGCTCGAGCTGGTAATATGCCAGTCGTGAGCCCTTCAAAGTTTACCTACAGGTATACATGAGTGTCTCTATTATGAATCATTTTTCAATGGTTCTTCAGATATCTGACCTCGCCAATCACATTGAAAGGTCTCTGTTAGCTGACATCATTCAGCCCCAGGATTTGAAGGAGCTGTGTTCAGTGCTTGTCGTATATTCCGGAGTTGCAGGTGCATGTGGATTTAAAATTCTATTGTTTGGCGGTTTATGTAACTAGTAATTCATTCTGTTAACATGCACACATGCAAATAAAATATTATAAATTATATATCTAATATTTGGAATTGTAACGTACATTACGGGCATATCGCATTTCAAAATTTTGAAAATTATTGAAAATGAACAATATAAATATAAACTATTTAACTTACATATGAATCATTATATTGACGACATAAAATGTAATGAATAATATAATTTTTGTAATTTTGAGGGATCATTAATAAATAATTGCTGAAAAAATATTAAAATTATTATTATTGTTGTGGCAATTGTTTATGTGATTTTAAAGTGTTTGATTATGCCGTTACAACCATTTATATAATTTTAAAGAAAAATTGCTTAAAGAGAAAAAAAAAACAATTGATTTTAGAATAGGTAGCTTGCCTACAAAGTTTTGCAATATAATTTTGATAAGTATGTAACTTTAATGTACTACCATTTAGTGTGAATTTATAGTTAGTTAGTGCTAGTAGTGTCTATTACATAATAGAATTGTTAAAAAATATGATTACACTTAATTAATGTAAAATACAACGGTTTGCTTCCATAATTAACTGAAAAAATTGAGTGGGAAAATTTTGTTTTTGAATTAATGTGATAGCCCACTTCTATATTTATACTAGTATTCAATCTTGTGTACATTCACAAGCTGCAATTAAAATTTTATATGTTATATGTGCATACATGTAATATTTAAAATCATAAGTTAGATAATGAGCATATTACATTTTATAAAATTAGTAAAACTGAACGTTATAAATATAAACTATTTAACTTACATATTAATTGCAATAATGTAAGTTTTGCAATCTTGTTGATTATGACCAATATAAAACAAATATTGACATTATTATTATAGCAATTTTGTAAGGAATTTTAAAGGGTTTGGTTATGGCATAGAAAATAATTAACTGATTTAATAATAAATATGCTTAATGGGCTGGAAAATAAAAAAACATAATAATTTTAAATAAATAGTATGGAAAAAGTTCTAAAATATAATATCATTTAATGTGACTATATTGATTAGTAGTTGTTATTATGTAATAAAATAAATAAAATATATAATTAATTGATTAGTGCAAAATGTAACAAAAAAGAGCAGGAAAGCAAAAATAATTGTCATAAATTTTTTACCAACAATTATATAGATATGGATAAGATAAGATGTATCCAAAGATGATATTTGCATGTTGTTTTATGCATGAATTGTGTTTCTTCTTAGTGAACAATATCATCTATATATATGTATATAATTGTTATGAAAAAAAAATTAATAAAACTATTTAGGTTTTCCACCCTTCTCCGTTACAATCCAATAATGTTTTTTTTCTATTTTTTTTATTTTACAAAACCTGTAACTGGAATCTAATGAATGAATTTTTTTAACATAATGATTAATTAAAGTGTAATAATAGTTTTCAATTATTCTATTATTTAATAGTTTTTTATTAAAACTAACCATTTACACAAAATGATATATGGAAGTTCAACAAGTGTAAAAAGTATATTGCAAACTTTTTCTTAAACTATTTATTGTGCATCTCATTAAGCATTTTTAATAAGCTAAATGGCTTTAGTGGTATAAAAAAAAAAAATAATAATAATAATAAAAAAAAATAATAATAATAATTTCAGTACCTTTTAAGATAGTTAATATGTCAGGATCCCTCAAATTTGTAAAAACTACATTATCCATTTCATTTTATGAATGATTTGACAATTATACAATTTTGCAATTTTGTTTCTGATCATTTTACAATTTTGCAATCAATTCTCATAACCTTAAAATGCAACAGAAAAACACGCAGAGGATCCCGGGGAAACCCCATTGGTTTCAGCAACTCAACATCAGCCTCAATCCCAAAAGCATCCTGAAGCCGAGAAAGCTCTGACAGACCCTTCAAATCAAAGTCAGAGTGATGTCAATCCTGAAGAGTCTGGTTCAGATGGAGCTGATGCATCAAAAGGAAGGCCAATGTCTCCTAGTACATTAGCTCTAATGTGTGATGAAGAAGATACAATGTTCACTTCTGCTGCTTCCTCTAGCGAATTAGTGGTTGATAATCATGTGTCTTCCCAGTTGCGGGAAGAGACAGAGGCGTATGCTGAGCAAGAAAGAATTGTTTTAACGAAGTTCCGAGATTGTCTTAATAGGCTCATCACGTTAGGGGAGATAAAAGGCAAGTTTCTTTTACCTCACCCTTAATTGAGTGGTTTATACTATACCTGTTATGTATTTTTTTTTTTTTTTTACCATGACTTATATGATAATGCAATAATAGTCTGCACTCATAGCCAACACATGCAGAACATCAAACCGGCGAAGTAGCTTCGTCTTTGTGATATATTTATGCATGGTATATTCAAGAGTTCCATTGTACTCTAACCTCAACATTATTGTTGTGGGGTCCAATTCTTGATACTTTTATTATAGGTTATTATATTTGAATTAGGTTTAGTGCTGACTGCTGACAATTATGGCTGCATAATGGGAGCTTGTGTAAGGAAACCATACGTGGAATGTAATATTTGGCAACACGGTAGGGTTGTCTCCTTATCTAGTGCATTAGGTGTGCCATATGTTCCTGTCAACGTGTTAACGGGTGACACAGAAGAATTAGAGAAAGGTTAAAGGTTTAGTCTTTTGTTGTGCAGTTGAAGGGTTGTTAATTCTTTTGTTCTAAGGTAAGCTATTTGCTGTGTAGATGCTGAAGTATTGGGGTGAAAAAAATTTTAGAAGTTATATAAACAAATTTGAAGGTGCCAACTTTCACTTATTTTTCCATTATGTCCTGAAGTTCTAACAACGCTTTGCACTCTATTAAATGTTACGGGTTTTCAAGGTACAATCATAAACCAAAGTGACCTTAGATATACCCTTGATATATACACCAAATATTTCTAATTTTTGGATGCATCTATCTACCCTGTTCCGGTCTTGCATGTCTTGCAGCAATCTATGTTTCTAGAACCAGAAGCATCTTGTGAAATAGCGCACATATCTGAACATAAGTAATTATATTGGAGCTTAAAAAAAATGGTAATTCTATTTGAAAATCTCAAACATTTTTCCCAGTCTCAATGATTATTTCTGTTTATCTTGTAACATACAGAAACATTAAAAAATGGTAATTCTATTTGAAAATCTCAAACATTTTCCCCAGTCTCAATGATTATTTCTGTTTATCTTGTAACATACAGAAACAAAATATTCTGCCTTGGCACGAGCACAATCATGTAACGAGAAGGACCTTACCAGCAGCAGCAACAGAAGTTCGGATATGAAATATGAAACTAAGAATCAACTGCCTATAACCAATGGCGGTTTTGTAAAATTTGTTGATGCTCCACATAAAACTTCTCCATTGATTACCTCAACGGATGGTGCTGCCAATAATGTCCAACATTTGAGAATAATGTCATCAGGAAATGGGGATGTAAGAACAGAATCCAAAGAGTTGTAACTATGTTATGTACTGGATACGGTTCTGCATCTCTTGTGATATTAGGCAATTGTTGCTACATATAAATGCCATTCTTAGAATTGAACTGATCTCATGTGTATCATTCGTCATTCATCGCCAACCATACGAAGATATGAAATCTAATTGAGAAAGCATTTCATATTTAATTTATATTACCAAAAAGACAGTTAGACGCTCAGTAGACGAAAGATAGATGTTCAGTTGTGTTCTGACCCTGTAGCCTTTAGACTGCATGTAGGCTTCTCCCCAAGCATCACAATCACTAGCGTAAGTACGAAATAGAAGGGTAAGAAGGGTAACTACAGCTGTGAGAGTTGTGGAGAGAATTGCTGCTAGTGATGATTACAGTTTTGTGTTACCCAATCTTCTCCTTGTCGAATATCATTGATTTATTACTGGTGGTCCTCGTGTGCATTATATATATATATATATATAGAGAGAGAGAGAGAGAGAGAGGGTGGGGGTGGTTAGGATCTTATGAAAATGGGTCATAATGAAAGAAATAAGAATAATGTGTACCATTGAGTTCTCGTATCAATGGTCATTGAAATCAAAATTTAATAAATAATGGTCAAGTATCGGTGACAATATTGTATGTAAGTGTACATATTTGTAGTCAAATGTGATATGAGATATTATATGACTAAGGAATAGACCGGCCTACTGCATAGGTCGGGCAAGCTCGAAGTAGAGAAAACCGCGTTGGTCGAGGGATGATCGACCAAAAGGGAGGAGATCGAGCAGAATAGCAGAATTGGTCGAGGATCGACCTAGTGATGGGGGGACTCGGCCAGATCGAGCACACAGCAGATGGAGAGCAGTCGAGAGCGTGGCGTAGACGCGAGAAGGCGCGTGGGTGACGTTAGAAGATCCCAACGGCCTGCGCAGAAGAATAATCTCCCTCAGCTCAGAGGGACACGTGGCGAGAATATATTGGTGCAGAGCGATAGTGGCGATAGCCACCTCTGATATCTCTGACAACATGCACACTATGTGTGTACGGACGGGCAGTGCGGGCAGGACAGCTCATCAAAATCCGGGCAGCTCCCAGGGCAGGTATCTCACTCCTATATATATGGGAGTGGGTCTTTTCTTATGATTTACGATTTATCCATTCCTTACTTTGGAAAATTGAACAAACACATACTGACTTAAGCATCGGAGGCTCTTCACCGGAAAACCCCTCCGGTGTGTGAGTTCTGTGCAGGATCGCGGCGTTCTACCAGCGAGGAAGAAAGAGACAAGCCGATTTCAAGCCGGTCGGAGTGTTTTGCGTTACCATTTGGCGCCGTCTGTGGGAATTTCGTTCGAAAAAGTGGTGTGCTGAGATTTCTGAAGCTCGGTGGCTATGGCGGACGGAATTCCTAGAAGAGATTTGCAAGCATCGTTCGACGACGCGTGGACGATGACGAGGCCGTTTGGAGAAGGCCCTCCTCCGGGCTTCTCTGGACCCTCGCGTACACCGATGACTCCCACGCCCGTTCCCCAAGGTGTAGGAGCCACGCCGGTGCAACCAGAGGCGGATGTGGGTTCAAGCCGGGCCCAGGAGAGCCACACGGCTTAGGCGGATGTGGCCCTCATCCCAGCACCGTTGCAACAAGATCTGGCCGCGACACAACAACGAGGAGCGGTGGTACAGGGAGCAGTACCACCGCCGGTGGAGGAGCCGCGTCCCGGCCAGCAGGTGGTGATGACCAGGCAGGAGATGCAGCAGATGGTGGCAAACGCGGCGGCACAAGCGGTTCAGCAGGTCACTCAGAGCCTCTCGCGAGTGGCTGCTGGACCAACGATGGTGGATGAGGACGTGTCTAGCTATGGAGGAGATGGAGCCCTACGAGATCGGGAGGTGGAGAGACTCGCGGAGCAAGTGAGGCAGATGCAGGCTAAGATGGACGGTCGACCTGAAAGGCGTGTTCGAGGACATCCGTTCTCGAGGGATATATTGGCTGCACCACTACCTGCGAATTTTAGAGACATGAGTTTGATGTTCGACGGGACCACTGACCCGTCGAGGCACGTAAGGGCATTTGAGAATTTGGTTGTGTTGCATGGTTATTCTGATTCTGTTAGCTGCAGGGCATTCTTATCGACCTTGAGGGAAGTTGCGCTTGATTGGTTTCAGCAGCTCCCTCATGGATCGATTAAGGACTTTGACGATTTCGCGGAAAAACTGATGACCCAGTACGCGAGTGCGGTGGCGCAGGAGAAAACGTATCTGACGCTGATGGTCATGAGGCAAGGGGAGAAGGAGTCGTTGCGCGAGTATGTTGCGCGATACAATCAAACTTGTCTGGAGATCCCCACGGCCGCGGACGAGGTGAAGGCTGGGGGGTTTATATGGAGTTTGCGAGTAGGGCCCTGTCGAACATCTTTAGCCAAAACCCCTGCTCATACATATGATGATGTGTTGAAAAGGTGTAAGAAATATATTAATCTGGAGGAGACGGAGGCGGAGTTTGCTAAGTTGGAGGAATTGGCTAAGCCAGAGCCGAAGAGAGGAAGGGCGAGCTCACCTCGACGGGCGTCGCCAGGTAGGAGATCGCCCAGAAGAGAGGTGCGTGGCAGGATTGATCGTGGGCGAGAGGACAGGTGGAAAGATCGGCCAGTGTTTGGAGGGAATGCGAAAATGGGAGAAGTGCTGGTGGCTATTGAGAAGAAGATCGAGGATAGGGACGTGACGTGGCCGAAATCGAGACGTGAGGGGCCGACGCAACCCAGGTCGATGAAGTACTGTCGTTTTCATAAGGATTATGGGCACACAACAGAGAAGTGTAGGCACCTCAAGGATGAGATCGAGCGCCTTATTAGGGCGGGGTATCTTAAGGAGTTCGTGTATGAAGACAAGACAAAGGGGAAGGTTAAAGGAAAATGTCGGGAAGATTCGGTGGAGCGGAGTGATCGAGATGATGATGAGGAAGAGGAGCCTCGAGGAGGGAGAGGTGATCGAGGAGGCAAAAGGAGACGAGGGAGTAGAGATCGAGGAGGTCAGGATGATCATGGCCCTGTGAAGAGGGGAACAATCTATATGATTTCGGGGGGCCCGACTGACGGGGACTCGAACAATGCGAGGAAGGGCCATGTTCGAGCGATGAAGAGAAAGAGAGAGGAGGTGGGGATCACTGCTCGGATGCCGGAGATAAGTTTTCGAGCAGAGGATGCAGAGAGAGTGGTGTTGCCCCACAATGATGCACTGGTGATAACGGCGGAGGTGGCTGGTTTTGATGTGAAGCCGGGTGTTCATCGATACCGGGAGTTCGGTGGACGTAATGTTTTATGATTGTTTTGTGCAGATAAACAAGGAGCTTAACCTTGAGCTGAAGCCGGTGACCACAGCCTTGTACGGATTTAATGGAGGCGAGGTGATGCCAATGGGAGAGGTGAGCCTATTTGTTGCCTTGGGACAGGGAGCGACGAGGAAGGTGAGAATGGTGAGGTTTGTGGTCGTTGGAGCAGAATCATCATATAACATCATCATGGGAAGGACCAGTTTGAATGCATTCCAGGCGGTCGTGTCGACGTACCTACGGCCTCCATTACTGGTTTTGTCGGTGATGTCGCTTAATTGAAGTGTGGGCTCCACCCATCCAGTGACACTACTGAAAATTAAGTCACAGAATCACCAGGACAAAACTTCTAAGTGATGATTATAGGAAGCTATGCATGTAGCTTGTGGTCCACGCCTGTAGCGCCTCTTACTTATCTTTCGAAACTCTAAGATTTTACACTTAATTAGATTTTTCAAAAAATATAAACATTCTTCTAAGTCATTACAGTGAAACTTCTTCTTCTAACTTGCGGAACTATTTTATTTTAAAACTTAACTTAAGCATCTTACTGAAGTAATTATAGGAACTTAACTTCCCAAATCTCCTTCTCAAACATGCTCAATTATAAACCAAGTCTAAAACTTAACATATTATCTCACATTAATAAGCATCTCAAGTTTTTAAGGAAAATATACCCGAAAAACTCATGGTAAATCAATAAGTCTGACAAATAGCCCAACTCATAAATCAATTGTCTTAAAAGTAAAAAAATAACAATTATTCATAGGTGACCACTCCACCATCCTGTGTCCCGCCACCAACCCGATCAACCTGAAATGTTAATAATAAAGGGTGACCAAACCACAACTCAGTGGGGAGACATACTGCACAGTTATTCAAGATAACGTAAAAAAAAATCCATCTGCACTACCGACGAAACATAAAAAGTCCATTTCTGTTCCTACCGACCGGCCTCGGTAAAAAAGGCTCCATCTCGTATATCGATAAAAAAAAATAATACAACAATAGAATGAACATGAATAAACTGATGGTCTTGTTACTGCACATCCCGCCGAGAGGACTATCTCATATGCACACCCCGACGGGAGGGCTATCTCATCTGCACACCCCTTCGGGAGGACTATCTCATAATTGTACACCCCAAAGGACGGATTACTCACATAACATACCACAATTATAATACCATGCGATCATACTGAATAAAACGTAGTACATAATCCCCACCTCAATTGCAGAATGAAACAATGAAGAATGCTCAGCGATCTTCTCGAGGGCGCGACTCCTCGCAATCTACATGATTAAATTTATCTAACATAACGATGACATTTTAATTAAAGAATTAATATAATAAACTTTTAACTTACTTAATTAATTATTTTAATTAATCTTTCTAGGCTCGACTAAGGTTCGTATAACAAAATTCAAGGATCAGCTAAGACTCGGAAACTGGATTTCAAAATAAGGCTAAGGTTCGATTAAAGTGTTGTCATCGGGGTGGTCCTTGGCTGCACGGGTCTGCACTGGACTACATGGGTCTGCAAGGAACTGCTCGTTGCACGGGTTGCTTGGGCACTGCGGGCTGCACGGGTCGTCTGGGCACTGCGGTCTGTGTTAGACTTCTCAATGCGACCAGACACTGGACAGCTCTAAGCGACCCCGCACTGCACCGAGTACTGCTACTGGAAGACCTAAGTCTGAGTGCAGTCGGGGTGATCTAGGTCGATGGGCGCTGGGGCGCTGGATTGGAAGTAACGTTGCGGGTCTGGGGAGACTGCATGCTGGGCCTGGCCAACTGGACGCGTATATGCACACTGGGCCTGGTCGGCATGCCATAGAAGCCCCGCGCATGAGGGACGATCACTTGGCCGCTGTACAGAGGGTTGCACACGAAGACCTGCGCTTCACCGAGCCACGTCGAGTCGTGCCGAGCGAGCCTCCCATCAATTGGGGCATGAGCAGGGTAGAGTTGTCAAAACGGTCCGACGGGGTGGGGTGGGGGGGTCTGAGAAAAGTTGGCCCAACCTGCCCCGCCCTCGGGCCGCGGGTTCGGCGGGCCAAGCCCGCCTATTTTTTTTCTTTTTATTTTTGAAAAAAAAAACT